GTTCTGAGAACCCCCTTGAGGCACTCAAAAACTGGGCTTAGAGGTTCAGTGGTGGCTACGAGCCCCAGCAGACAGATGGGAAGCTGAATTTCTCAAACTGATCTGATCTAATGAGACCTGCCTAGGTTAGGAGAAGAGGCATATCTTGGACTTGAGTAGGCTTTATCAAGGCGGCAATGTTCCCTCTAAGCTGTAGAGCCTTGTGAGCAAAAATTCTACTTTGTGAGCTGCTGGCATTAAAGTTGTGAGCAAGCAACTGGGCTACTGTATAAATTAGTTTGCTCTGGAGCCATCCTTCCTGAGCCAAGACAAAAATGTATGAGCTGGAGGCTAAAAACCTGTGAGCTAGCTCACACTAACTCAGCTTAGAGGGAACACTGGTTACCAGCTCCTGCTTGGGATATACCTGGTGATTTCGGGGTGGAGCCCATGGAAGGTGGGGTTTGGGGAGGGACCTCAACAGAGTATAATTACATAGAGTCCACTCTTCAAAGCAGCCATTTTCTGCAGGGGAACTGATCCTCGGAGATCAGTTGTAAATCTGGGAGATATCCAGGCCCTAGGGTTGCCAGGCCCCTCTTGGCAACCAGTGGGTGATGGAGGGATTTACCAGTAGAATGAAGAAGGCCAAGGTCACATTGCTAGCATGACACAGGAAGTGATGTCATCACACTAGCAACTTCTGGGCAACACTCTAGTATTTGCACAAAAACTCTATGGTAAAACCAGCTTCTACCACAGAGTTTTTGCCCAAATACCAGAGCGTTGTGCAGAGGTTGCTGGCATGATGACATCACTTCCTGTGCAATGCCAGCAATGTGCCCTAGGCCTTTTTTCTACCAGTAAGTCCCCTCTCTGGTCAGGTGATCAGCAGCTGGTATACCCGCCTCCACCGGAGGGTCTGGCAGCCCTCCCAGGCCCCACCTGGAGACTGGCAATCCTGTTCCCACCATGGTACTGGCACCTTTGCCCCAAGAAAAGCTGAGCCCAAGAGGGTATACAGATGGGCAGAAATACTGGACTTAGGTTTGTGTTTTGTAGACTTGAGTACTGTGCAGTACCAACAGCTTAGTTCCCACTGAAGCAGTCAGCCTGGGCCGTACCATTTCAAATTGCAAGTAAAGTATAGCGCAGGATTATGTGCTATAGTCTCAACACAGGTTTATTGTCTCAGTGAGAATGGGGCTTGACTGTTTCCTCTGTAAACTGAAATGAGCCCCCTCTAACCCCTCCATTTATCCAAGGGATTTTACACAATAGTTGTTTTTTTTCTTACTTGTGGTTCTTTCCTGATGCAATTTCAAACTGTAATTATTTTGTAGATGCTAATCCTTAAATTGGGCAATTTTCCCAGTTCTATTTAGCTACATTAAGTTAATTCGATTATTAATTTTTTTTAATTCTGGAAGGTCTTATGGTTGGTTTCATGAACAATGGTATTTCTCTTTCCGGTAACCTTTTAAAAATATGTATTATATTAAAAACTTGCAGTCAGGATCCAGTAAAAAATTAAGCACTCTGAGGTGGAACCCGAGTTCTAATTTAAGTCTGCATGCTCGTAGTAACACTTGTTCATGCTCACCCTCTGCTAATTTAACAGGGCGCTTTGGTCAGCGCAAGTTCAGATGACATGCTCCATTTGTGGAATCTCAGACAGAAACGGCCAGCGATTCTTCATTCTCTAAAATTTACTCGAGAACGGTAAGGCATGACAGAAATCAAACAGTCATATTTAATCCCACGGTTCTGGCTGTTGCGTATCCTGTTGAATGCAGAAACTTCCTGAATTGTATGTACGTAAATAATTCTGTGCCATATCCTGTACAAAACAGAAGCCGAGAGGCTGTAGTGTTCACTGGCCTCCTGCAATGAGGCCATTTCTTTTTGCTTTCATGCGGCAGATTAAGTAGAAAGGGCTCAAGAACCTTCCTAAGAGCCAAGATAAAGAGCACATATGAAAAGTGTGAGCATTTTCTTCACCTAAAGAGTAGCTCTGGCAGCTTGACCCTTTCCCTGCCTGCTGTTTGTCCACTCAAAAATACTTGGCCCCAAGATCACCAGAACTTGGAAACTAAATGGGATTGACCAGGGTCAGTGGTTGGACAGGAGACCACCAAGGAAAATCAGGGTTGCTGTGCAGAGGAAGGCAATGATAAACCACCTATGCTCATCTTTTGTCTTGAAAACCCCATGGAACTAGGGTCACCATGTGTCGGTTGTGACTCGATGGCAACACAACTGTTGTTATATTAAGATGATATATTTTATCCTGTGAATGGGAAAGCTGCTGGGGTGGGGGGAGATGATCAGATTGAATGGGCAAATGGCTGGGGAGAAGCAGTTTTTGGGTAGAAAAGCTTGCGTAGGAAAAGGGGTCTGGAGCCCTCCCTCTTCCGTACTGGGTCCCAACCCAGGGCTTTGCTTTATAGAAGATTGGCGTGATCCAAAAGCTAGCTGTGCCATGGAAACACCTCGCTTGCCCCTGTGATGGACGCAATCTGGTCCCTGGATACTGGGGAGGTAGCCAAAGTTGCTTTCCAAAAACGTGACCCACAAAGAAGTTCTTGTTGCTGGTTTCCATTCCCTGCCCCCTCCCCTCAGCCCCCATCACGAATTCCTGACATCGGAAAGTAGATAACCACTCCTCAAATTCGATGCTCCTCTTGTCTGTAATCGCTTGGCAGTTCGTGTCACACCATTTGTGGGGTTTTTTGATGTTTTCAGTCGTCTGGGCAAGGTCTCCTCAGATGATGATGCTCGGCTTCTGTGCCTCCATCAGGTTTCCCTCCCACACAACCCATTTTCTGCTCATTCCGACTCCGGTTGCCAAGGCGATGGATTAGTTGCGCATAAACAGAACCCTCGAAGAAGGACAAAGTTTCTTGTCGACGAGTTCCTCAAGGCCTCCTCTCCCTTTGTCATTTCTATCACTCAGACACCTGTGAGAATATTAATGGGTACTCCTCAGGCCCATGGGTAGCATATCCAACCCACACGCTTGAAGGCTGAGATTGACGGCTGATCCCGCTTCTCTCTCAGTTTTTTTAAAAATAATGATGCTTGTCGCCATTTATAGAGCTCCATCAGTGTAGAGCTGCGCTTAACCTTTTTTGGGTTATGGACCCCCTTTCAGGATCTGATGAAAGCTGCAGGGCTCTTTTTGTAGAAAAAGCCCAGCAGATATTCATTAGCCTAATAGGCCACACCCAACAGCAGAAACTTGTTAGCATAATAGGCCACACACCCCAACAGCACAGTTCATTAGCATATTAGGCCACACCCCCATGTCTTCCCTTGACTTGCCTAGTTGCCCCACAGCTGCGGGATGCCTGGCAAGCTGGCCCTTAAATGTCTCCCCCATCCTTCCAGGGCCCCCTCCGGCCTGCCTGCTTCGGAGTCACGGGGTGTGTGTGTTTGCTCTCCAGGCCTTCCCTCTGTAGCCACGAGCACAGAGGTTTTAGCTGTAGTGGGCGTGGCCAACTCTGAAGCCAGCCGGAACTCCGTTCCTGCGCGTTCCTGCCCAAAAGTAGCCCTGAAGCTATGAAACCCTTCCCAGAAAAACAGTGCAACACAGCGATGATGAGGATTGTGTGTTACCTGATTGGATACACTAGCATGCAGTGCCACTCTATGCTTGTCTGGAGTGAAACAATATCTTAATAACACAATTTGACATTAACAGATTTATTTTCCCACAAAAATAATTTTTAAAATAACAGGAAGGAAATCAAATTAAAAAATCTTTTTTTTTCTTTTTGAGCCCGATTCACAGACCCTCTGAAGCCACAGATTACTTCAGGTTCAGAACCACACCGGTGCTGAGATCCTTTTACATATTCTAATAGGCAAAAAATAAACCAGCCCCTATCTCCAGAGAACTTACACTGTAAAACACTGCGAGCGAGGAAGGGGGTGACAAAAAGCATAAATGGGGGAAATGCATTTATGTGTACCTCAGACTTGGTAGCAGTTGGGAAGGGGGATTAAGAGGATAAATTTCAATTGTTTGGCTTTTTGTGAGGCATTGATGTTCATTTAATTATTGGTAATGGCTCTGAGGTTGAAATAATTCAATATAGTTCAATATTCAAAGAAATATTCCTGATATCGGTACCAGCAAGGGGTCATTTCGTAGAAAAAGAGGTCCAGGAGCTCATTAGCATAACACATTAGCATAACTTATTTGCATATGCCACACCCCCTGACATCACCGGAAGTGTGTCAGAAGGCAACACCCACCGCTCAGGCTCCACTGGACTGTTTTGGATTGCTAGTTATTGGGAGGGGGGAATGTGCAGATCTGCCCTCACAGGGGAGGGAGAGCTTGTACCTGAATAAAACTTGGTCTTAAAGGTGCCACTGGAGTGTTTTGGACTGGGGGTCCTGGGGGGGGACTCTGCAACTTACCTGGCTGCTTCTTGCTCTGACTGAGGGCTGCTGGGAGCAGGGGGTGGGGCTTGTTTCATGTACCCGCCCCCTGGGCTCTTTACTGCCAGAGCTCCACTCCTGTGCGCTCCTGCAGGAAATGACCCCTGGGTGCCAGCAACTTTGCCTTTTGAAAGAAAAATTGAGTGTGTGGAGGAGCAACAAAGCACAATTCTCCAGGACAATCATCAATCACTTTTCGTTTGGTTTTTTGGCTCCTTTTAGTATGTGGTTGGTAGCCTCTTTTGAAAGAAAGATGGTGCCTAAGGAAGCCACTCAGTGTGCCATTTTTCTGTTGGTTCAGAAATGTTCTATAGTGTGAGAATTCAAAAGTCTTCGTTTCTATGACAATTATATATAATATCCATTCTGCATTCAACACATCTGCCCCCTACGTAATTTTGCTTAGACACTACATCTCTTAGACCCATGCTCTAAAATGTTTCAATAAATAAATACATTCAGTTCTGTGTGTGACACGGAACACAGCAATAGACTGAGAGTCAAAATCAGTATGGCGACCGTATGTTGAGACGTGGAACCTCCCCAGTCATAGGG